CAGGTACAAGCTACTAACAAGGTGTATCATAGATAAACAATTATTCAATTAATAAATTATTCAATTACTATTATTAAATTGAAAAACTGCAAATAGCAGCTAACTTAATTTGTGTGATGCGTGTACTGCTAGGCATCTTTGGTTTCCTCTTGTGTAATTTAGATGGAAAATGTGTGCCTTTTTATCATCTGAGTCACTTATCAAAAGTTGCTAAAAGCTGCCAAAAAAAAAAAAAAAACAAAGGCAAAATTTTTTTCTAGGGGCTTTTGGAAAAAAAATTTGTGCTTCTGGAAGAAAAATTTGCTAGGGTAGTGTGAAAAGTTGCTAAACTTAGCAACAAAATTGCTAAGTTGGCAACACTGGATAACAAAAAAAACATCTTCACCGAAAACAATTATTTTACATTGTAGTAATATTTGTACAAAATTACTGTTTCGACCATATATACACAAACGCATGAAGATATGAAATGGACAGGGGACCATGTGTGGTTGTGGCTGTACTCACGCTGAGCAGGTGCGGTTGCGGCGGGTGGGCAGGGGGCTGGGAATCAGGTAGCCCCTCATGGGGGAGGGTGATCGGTCTCTTTGGCGGCAGGCAGGCAGACGCAGAGAGCTGGGGGAAACTGGAGAGACAGGAGACAGTGGGGACAGAGGAGGGGTGGTGGACTTCACAGGAGATGATGCGTCTGAGGACATGCTGACGGTGGGACACTCAAAGGATACTGGGAAGACAGAAGCGGTGAGGACCTTGAGCTTTTAGGACTGAAATAGGTTCTCCATCAAGATTTCCTTAAAATACAAACCATGGCATTTGTCTGGATTTTTACATGAACCGAAAACAGAAACTTTGCAGAGTGACAAACATCACTGCAAAATGGATTGTAGACCAATGATGTGTCAATAAACCAGTAGTAATACTGTAATATTAAAAAATATATATATATTGACATCATGTTAATACTACACAAAGTAGTATTGTAAATAATCCATTGGCAATAACAATCTGGCTGA